ATTATTCCCTTGGGGAGTATACGTTTCCTTAGGAAGGTTTTTACTTTTGACCGCATTGTGCAATTAATTTTCATGTGACAACAGCGAATGAAACGACGAGACTGATAGAAAATTGACCAGTGTGGACAGTCGGGGTAGATTTCTATAGCAAGAAATTGGATATTGTCCCCGATCTGGTGGCGGGATACAGGAGCACTGCGAACATGCACATCTGGGACACAGTTGGACAGGTGGGTAAATTTGATTGTGGACTTCGCGCATTTCCCCTCAGGAACGGTTTCGATCACTGGGAGCATCGTTCTATCGAGGGGCTGATGCGTGCATCCAAATTTGTGATATTTCTCGCCAATTCGGGCGCGAGAATGTCCTTGACTGGAGACGTGATTTCCTCAAACACGCCGATCCTGATGAACGTAGGCTACGTAAATGGTGGGATAGACTCCGGCTGGTAGATTTTTACACGGAGGTATATAACAGAACGTAGCGATTCAGAATCCATTGACGAGAATCTAATAATGGTCTAGGCCAAAGTATCCTGTATCTCATCGTGGAAAATTTCAGTATGTCGGCCGAGAAGTTTCCATTCGTGTTCGTCACCAATAAAACAGATCTTCCGGAGCACGACTTTACGGAATCTGACATGGTCGACCTGATCACGGAAATACGGAAGCAGTATCCCTCATGTCCCTCCTCTTCCGTGGTTATGGCCGCCGCCGAAAATGGCTCGGGAGTACGCCAAGTTTTCGGGCTGACTGGTCTTGCTGCAGTACAACGAGCGAACGAAAATGGCCGGCGATTTCACCCCCCTCCCAAGGACTTCCTGGTGACTCCCCTCTAGTGGACTCTCATTTGATGTTCAGATTCGACAAGTGCGGGTGCCATAATGCTTGCAAAGGGTGTACACAGTGTGACGAGGGAAAACGCCTGTTGTGCTTGCTGAGTAGCCCCTTGTCATGATCATATTGTCTGACTTCACGTTATCACCATTCGTAGTGTTATCTCATTGCTTCCCCCGCAACAACAATCCCCCTAAATTGCCACTTCTGGTGGCTTCGGATTGTTGTGGGGTATTGGGGGAAATGTACTCGTGTGACTTCTGCCATACTTCGACCCAAGTTGGGTCTCTGGTGCCAATTTTTGGTGGACTTAATACCCGACATGAGCGGCTATTTGTCGTCATTTGGAGATGCGTTTACGGCACCGCTCCAATGTCACTTTTTCTGCTGTGGTATACTATTACTACTATTACTACTACCATAAGAGAGTTCGATGTGCACTTTTACTGGGAGCTATGTACCACACAGCGTATGTAAGCACCCAGTAGCTTATCTTCAACCATTGCTATCATGGATCTCCGTAACGGTGATTCTCATGCCATACATGCCTTCCTCATTAACCAGTCGGCATTAGACCGGGGAGTAGTTTTCCAGTCGATACCACATTTGTCCCTTTTGGCCCTCTTAGTATTCTTCGTTCGACTGTGACTCCTCCTGAGGTCCTCTTATTCTAGCCATGCGCTCTTCATTGTATCTCTTTCATTTCCAACTGAAAAACGGAGGATTGCGACTCTCTGATGGGGAGTTCTGGTAATGGTCCCCTCAAGTTCACGGCAATGCCCTGTAATCTGGTCAAGGCTGACACGCTCGACCAGTGTACATTGTCGAATGTTTTGCATACTGCATAAGAAGGCGGTATCAATAGAGACGTATAATGATACCCTCTAGTTGCGTTAGTTCGCGTTGGAGTGGTATTGTCTATTTGAATGGAGTGTGGAGGGGCAGTTTGAACCTGCCTTGAACTATTCATCGAATTTGTCGGCGAGAATGTTATGTCCTCCCCGATGGGGGGGGGGGGGGTCAAAACTAAGACTACGTAAATCGATTTTCATCAGAACTTCGTTTTACTTCCAACTGCGAAACAACGCGAATAATTCGTAGTCGTAATTTGAAGACCTCCAAGTCTGGTACGGAAATAAGTTTACAACGAATGTGCGTATTAGCATTCTATACAGTCTTGTGGAGTGGCAAGGTCATAACATGCATCCCTGCAGTAGTGTTCTACTGTCATGGCCGTCTCAGATGAGGCCATCAGTAGCAGTATGTCTGAGGGGGGATTGACAGTGGGAATACATGCTACCAAGGACGTCACGAGTAAGAGGAATTAATTTATGAAAGCTTCGGCAGATTCTCAAACAACTCGATAAATTTTCACTGTCTTATGAATTGCATTGCTGAGCGCTTTGAATATAGGCGCGAGGGCAGTACCTGAGAGCACTACGGACCGAGCACTGCGAGCGAACTGTGAGGATCCTCAATCAGAGACGGAATATTGTGGAGGAGAACAACAGGGTGATGAGAGTATCGCATTGTATATCTCTGTATGTCTGCTAATACAAACTCCAATGCGCCAATGGTGGAGTAGTCTTCGCTGTTGTTCAAGTCTGCGTTCCGTGTTAGCGATGTGATGGTAGCAGGTACAGCAAAAAATTCGTCGTCGGATGAGCACGGTGGGTCGGGGTTGACGTCAAGCCTTGAGGATGGCCAATCAAGCGGCATCCTGTCGAGTCCAGTCACCAGTGAGAGTAACTCTAGTGAAGCAGAAGGGCGGAGATCTACTGCGAGTCGCAGTCTGCGACCAACGTGGCGGTTATCGCTTCTCCGAAGGAATATGATGCTCAGCGAGGTTCCCGTTGTATGGGCTTACTCTCGGCTACCGGTGAATGTCGTTTGTTATGTTTTCCAGCGAGGCAGTGAAGATCTCACGATTTGCTGAAAAAGAACGAAGTTTGAAAAGTGTGAGTGAATATTGATGGTTCAATTCGTGAATAATTTACGATGGTGGGTATCTTAGATACCGTATCTAGAGAATACTTCCTCTACGCATAATGAGAGCATATTGACAGAGCGATACCGTATAAAGTATCGTGGCATCATTGGTACCGTTAGCCTTACAAGTGTGATTAGTAGTAGCCATCGATCCACGCCAACTTCACGTCGGTGAGGGCGCTGAAAGTATCTCGTGTGGAGTCCCGGGATCGATCGATATCATACAGGTATCATCAGGAATTATTCCCCGACGGCACCTCCCATAGTGAAGATCATGAAAGTGGTCATATTAGGCGACGCGGCGGTTGGGAAGACATGACTGATACAGAGGTGGATTGGGCATAGCGATGTTAACAAGGTGTGGTATGAGTCTAGACAGGTACATGCACGGCAGCTTCTCTCACCACAGCTACGAGCCTACAGTGAGTACGATTCAAGTATCCGTTATTGCTGGTGTCGATCAATGTGCTGGTCTGTTATTGTTGTTCTGAGTGTTATGCTCAGATACGATGAAGTAGAAAGGTTAATTTTGAACGACCTACGCAGAGCGCGTAGAATTAGAAAGAGTTTTCAACTGTTCGATAAGATGACTTGTTTGGGATCGTTGAATGATATTTGTCAGGGCTACGTCCAGTCTCCTGGGTTAACGCGAGATCATTAATCATAGGAAAATGATAATTACTTGAGACTTAACCTGACTTAACTTAACTTATGATTAACTATTAGCACTACTAGCCTAGCACAGCTCAAAAGATACTAAGCTTGAGGAACAGTACCGACACAATTGTCACAACAATATTGACGAAGTGAAGCGAACTGCTCGTTTTCTATTGGGGTCGATGAATAGTCGCCTGTGGTCGTTGATCGCGAAGCGCCGACAGGAACGGCAAAACTTCTTAGAGTAAGAAGTTCGCGAACTGTGTATTTTCCGATGATCGTTTCCGTACCATTGCTTTTTGATTATTGTTTTGGGTGCTGAACATCCAAGAGTACTCCATATAGATTCCACGAGCCTTCAGATATTGTCAGCGTTCAGATATGAGCTTGAAACTTGATGGGAAAGACCGCTTTCTGGGAGTCTAATACCACTGAACTCTGCGGCTCGGCAATATGTTGTTGAGCTTGGGGATGAGCATCTGATGTTGAGTAAGTTTTCGGCTGATCGACTCCGGCTTGAAAGGATGTGCGATGAATCATGAGTTTTTACTGCATGCTAGTTTTATGTGCAAATGTGAAGAATGTGCGTTCTCTATTCCGGGATTAATGATAGTGAACTTGTCGCTATCATAGTCTCGAAAGGTTCATCGCATGACATCGCATAACAACCGTTTGTGCGGCCGTGTTGCTCTGCCCCTTTTCCGATGAGGAATATGCACATGCGTGCAGGTTGTTCACCGACGCTGTGAGTTCACTGAAAGCTTCGACGACTCCGTCTCGATTGGATTATATCTTAGTGGTTTTGTCGTTCCACTAACAAAGTCAGTTTTTCCCTTTTGAGTCCGAATCGCATCTCTGAGTAGCTTGGTAAATGCGGGGGCCGTAGAAGAACCCGCACAAGATGCCGAGCGGAGTTCCACACGCGTGTGGGCATCTTCGATGGATTGTGGTGTTGTGTAGAACGGGCCAGAATTGTAAAAAGTATCCCTCGTATAGAACAATATTATAGGACTATTTGCTGTAGGTTTCTTGATCGAATCCATGCTCAACCATCTTCTCCATCTCATACTCGTCGGTGTTGCCCTATCCCACGAGCCAGACGGCTCATATTTCGTGAGCGTGTCTGAACCTTATTTGGATCTGGTTTATACATTCTCAGACAATGCTAAATTAGTGAAGGTTAGCTTCTACTGTGGGGTGGGTCCCAAACCAACTACGGAGACCTTTGATGTCGATAAGGTGTCCGATGCGAGCTACAGGATAGCAGAGTTCCACGTTGAGCTCTGGAACGAGTTCAAAAAAAGCTTTGAGAAGAGATGCAAGAATTACCTACCTCTGGAGCCACAGGACCTTCGGGATGTAAAGTACGATACTAAGTTCGACCACCCGTCTATTCACCTCAAGGAAAAATGGTGGGAGCTGGCACACCGAGAACATCCTTCCCATTAGTTGATATTGTTTCGACAGTAGAATCCTCAGCGTATCTACCGCTTTGGCAAACCATTATTCAGACCTTTGTTGGTCGTCCAATTTGCTATTTTTATGCTGGTACGTTGAACATTTCTGGATGGGCCGTCTCCAACTCTAGGAGCTTTTTCATACAATACCGTGACGTTGACTCTTCGAGTGTTATAGTGATCGTAGTTATTTCATTAAGTATTGATAACGCTTCGCGGCTCATCCATCTGTAACCTTTCTTTCCCGTCTTCGCTTTCGGAGTAGGTAATGCTGCTTACGGGTGGATCAATATTCTTCTCCACGCTTTGCTTTATTTCCTGTATGTCTGCGTGGTTATAAGCGGATCTCTCATAGACGAGTTGGGTTAATCATGCCTATCACCAGAAGCGGTAACAACAACAGGAGGACATCAGCTGAGTGGTCAACGCCTCTCATCGTGAGTACAAAAGACAATCCTTGCATATGGTACGATTGTTTGTGGACTTTACCTCCTTGACCTTTGGGATTGCCTTGTGTTACGCTAGTTAGGGGGCAACTCCTATTGGATTCTGAACTCCTCCTGGAGATGGAATTGGGAACCTATCTCGCCACATCCACTGAGACAACTCCGATAAATACAGAAAAGAATATCATATTTCGAATATGAGCGCTAACTGATCGTTTCATCATGTCCGTGGCTTTCGCTGTTTGGGATGTTCGGGCAATGGTTTGAGAATTGAAAAGATTATCAACTAACGTCAACTAATGTCCCTTTCATATTCGAATAATTCACGGGATCCATCCGTTGGGAGGAGCCCGGAGAAGTCGAGCTTCTTGCAACGGCCCGTTGGCTGTTGGCACGGCCCGTTGGCTAACACGGAACATGGAATGGGTAAGATAGGCCTCAGCACGGCCAACTCGGACCTCGGTAGAATCTTTGGACTCTGGTCTCGGA